TTTGGTTCAAAACTATTTCGTTGACGGATCCACGTGGCACCAAACCGCCGGTTTCGAAATTGTGGTTTCGGTTCGGTTTTCCGGTTTGGCGGGTTTTTGCTTACAGCCCTAAGAGATATTGATGATATATGTAAAACCCAAAAGAAATTGTATTTAAGAGCATGCGTACCTATGGTTAAAACGGTTACTTATAAGCAAATAAGTAAACTTTAAAATTACTTTTTCAATTGGTTAATGTTAGAAATAAGTTACTTTTTTGACATTAGGTTGTAAGATAAGATTTACTTTCAATACATTACTTTTTTTTTGGTTACTTCAAAGTAAGTTATCCAAACATGTTTGAAAACAATTAGTTATTATAAAATAACTGTACTTCTTTTTAAGCATGCCAAACATGTTCTTAGTCATCCCTACTATTATCAAATTTCTGGGAAATGAAATGAAGTATTTATATATTCCTTTTACCATTGAGGATACTTTTTCATATTATTTTGAGTTTTCAAATTTTCTCTTTGCAGGACTTCGTGTTAAACATGAAAAAGAACTAGAAAATTTGACTTTGATAACGCAGCCTGTCAGAACACTGAAGTTTTTCATTCTGGCTGTTGTTAAGTACCTCAGGCGCTCAGTAGCATATCTTTTGTCACATGGTGGTTGGATTGTGCTGTTCAGTACCATTATTGCGATAGCTGGGGTACTACTTGTGACTATTGATGGTCCTCATGAGAAGGTAATCAAATCGGTAGTAGTTCACTAGTTCTTTGTTATTCTTTATATATATTGTTCTGAAGCCTGAAGGGGCTGAAGATTTGCCCTACTGGTAAAGAAGCATCTATACTTTGTTTCCTTAGGAACCATGCAATATTATGAGGCACGATTCTAGGATGCTCCCTGAAGAATTCATTTATAATTCGGAATCAGTATTTAAGAGCTCTTTACGTCACTTTATTGTTGTTTCAAGTTTAGATTCCTTATCTCTATTATGGACAAAGGAGGATCATGTCCTTGCTAAATTGTTGTTGCTTCTACCTCTTGATCTTAGATTAATGTTTATAATGGTCTTTCATTTTTCTATGTTGCACAGCATGTTGAGGAAGTTCTATGTTATATACAATTTGGATTATGGTGGGTGGTTCTTGGCGTTGCATCTTCTATTGGCCTTGGTAAGCTATATTGATTTTAAGACATGCATGGTGTTTTCTGATTCCTTGATAATCTTGATAGCTGGTAATAATGTTAGAATTATATTTTGGAAAATTCTATAGTGCTGATGATAAAATCTGAGAATGCTGTTGGTTAATTATTTTCTTTGAACCAAATCTTAAATAACTAACCACTCCAATCAACCAAATTTTAGTTGATAGTAAGAAACATAATGTGTTGCCATAGCTATATGACTTAAGAACCACTCCCATAAATCACCATAGTTGACAATTGTGAACCAAAGATTCATGGCTTCGGGGATGAGAAGCCAGTTGGAAGGGAGGAGTGTCCAATCAGGTTGACTGGTGGGGAATGGAGTTAGAAGTGTGATATTTGGATTGCTGGCATGAAACTGTTGAGTGGAGTCTGTGGTTATGTGAGCTATATTTAAGGAATAATCCTGGAATTAATTTTATTTTTAGTTTTAGTTAAGATCGTGGATAAACTCAGGGTAGGTTGACCTGTACCTGTCCCCAAAACTTTAAACCCTATTGGTTTCAAAGCGTTGGAGAAATCTCATCCTTTTATTGGAATCAACCTGAGGAATTTAATGCATCAAAATATATAATTTGGTGAACAGCCTATTATTTGAGTTCTTCTGAAGTATAATAAGTACCATTGCTGTCTTTGTAGCAACATCTTATCCAATATTTTTGGATAATTATTGAAACACATCATTGTTGTTTTATATTTCATAGGGTCTGGGTTGCACACTTTTGTTCTCTATTTGGGGCCTCATATTGCTTTATTCACCATTAAAGCAATGCAATGTGGCCGAGTAGACATCAAAAGTGCTCCGTATGATACAATACAATTAAAAAGAGGCCCTTCATGGCTTGGGAAGGATTGTGCAGATTTTGGACCCCCTTTGTTTTCGTCTTCACATGGTACACGGGTTCCGCTTGGTAGCATATTGCCCCAGGTCCAATTAGAGGCAATCTTGTGGGGCCTCGGGACTGCACTTGGAGAACTTCCCCCTTATTTTATTTCTAGGGCAGGTATGAAAT